CAGCATGACAACCACCAATGTGTATACGCATGCGCCTCATTCCCCTTCAAGGCCCTAAGAGAAGAGATGACCTTGGCAGACACTCGGATGCCCCCATCCCCTTCCCAGCAGGTGCCCTTTGCATCTGTTACTCACAGTGAAAGGGGCGCTCATTTTATCTGGCCGTATGACTCTCAATTAAGATGACACTTCTAGCCTCTCTTGTAATGAGGTGTGGACACGTGTCTAAGTGCTGACCCATGGGAGGTAAGGGAAAGTGTCAGAGGACACGAATCTTCTCTAATATGCACCTTTTGTCCCATGTTCATCCCCTTTGCCTTCCCACACATGAAATACAGAAGTGATGGTTGGAGCTCCAGCAGCCATCTTGGAAACAGGTGGATGCTACAATTTTTGGAGGTCCAGGGCACACCCAACTGTGCTTCGAGCTATACCTGACGCTGTGTTCCGGGATCACTCCTGGCAGTGCCGGGATTTGCACCAGGATTGTAGTGGCTATAGCTGCAAGTGCTTCACCGTTGTCCTCGTTCTCAGGTCAGAGAGGAAGTAACATTTTTGAGGATGACCAAGCAACCAAAAATAAGCTTCCTGGTGATCCCAGAGATGCCTGAATTACTCTGGGCTACTTACATCTGAGTTTCCTGTAAGTGGAAGAGATAAACATTTATAATCTTGCCTTTTTTTTTCATGACACAAACATGCATTCATTTTATTCACAAAACAACTTGGTTTCCTGAAACAATAAAAACAGTATGTTCATCAGCAGGAAGTTGGCCATGACCTGGCACCCACCCCCGCTGGCAGGGGACTTCACAGAGACTGCCTTTACTCTGTCACCATCAGCAAGGCCAGGGAAAAAGGGGCTTATTTTCTCTAAGGGAAGTAGCCAGGGTCAGAAATACTGAGACGAGAGCTTCCCGGATCTCGATGGAGAAATGAACAGAGTTTCCAGTTTTGTAAAATCTTCCCTATTGGGATGGGGCAGACCCATCCTGGGGGAGTGGGTACCTTATGAGCAACCTGGGTCTAGGGGTACGGAGGCACTGCTTCCTCCCCTCTGGCCCCCCTGGGCGGCTCAGAGGGGGTTCTCATACCTGTTCTCTGGACTTCACAGTAGAACTCAATCTTGGTACAGTCGCTCTTACCCAGACTACCATGAGCTAATGCAGTGCAACCAACTGCTCTGAGATCTTTAATAAGCAACTATTAAGCTCTTACTGTGTGCCAAGGAGATCAGTGCTGGGGGAACAGTGAGCAGTCTTCCGAGTTGAGAGGAAGAGACAGCGATGAATACACATGTTTCCGGAAGCTCCAGTCCCTAACAAGTGCCATAAAAGGAAAATACAAAGGCCTTTGCAAGCAGACGACAGGGACTTCCCTCTAGCCAGGGCTACCGGGAAGTCTTCCTGGAAGAACTGGCATCTCAACCCAGTTCCGACTGGAGGAGAGGGTTTGGGCAAGGGAATAAGTCTGATGCTTTACATAGGTCCCGGAGCGAGTCTGTGCTCACTGGATTCGAATCTCAATGGCTTCTTGTTGCTGTGTCACTTTGTACAATAGCTCAGTGACTCTTCTCTCATCTGAGAAATAGATTTAGTTGACACAACACTGACCTAGCACTTACGACGTGCCAGGCACAGTTCCTAGTACTTTCTTGAGCTCTTTTCGTTGTTGTTGTTGTTGGGTCACACCCGGTGTTGCACAGGGGTTACTCCTGCTTCTGCACTCAGGAATTACTCCTGGCAGTGCTCAGGGGACCGTATGGGATGCTGGGAATAGAACCCGGGTTGGCTGCATGCAAGGCAAACGCCCTACCCGCTGTGCTATGGCTCCAGCCCCTCTTTTCTTTCTTATAGCAACCTGTGGCACAGGAACTATGCCCCTCTCCATGCACGGGTGAGTAAACTGAGTCCCAGGAAGGAAGACAACTTGCCCCAGGTCACACAGCTACCTGCAGGCTGAGTGTTACTCCCCACCCCCCACCCCCACAACACCACCAAGCTTTGTCTTTATCCCTAACCCTCCCCCCACCCCCAGTGCCCTTCTAACCCTTAGCCCGGTGGGTTCCCAGGGAGTTGGGGGGAGGTCCCCCTACCCTCCTGCCCAGCACAGCCCTGCCAGATGTGCTGCAGCTGCTGCTGCTGCCTCCCAGTCCCACCACAACACAGGGGCCTGGGGCCCCTCTGAAGCTCAGTGTCCCTTAGTCAGGGGTGGGGTTGGGGAGGGGCCCGGACACGGGGGTGGATCAGACAGGCTATCAAGGACAGGGGGCTGGGGTGGGGAGCAGCTCAAAGGACCAGGTGGGGGGCTGGAGCGATAGCAAAGCGGGTAGGGCATTTGCCTTGCACGTAGCCAACCCGGGTTCGATTCCCAGCATCCCATATGGTCCCCTGAGCACTGCCAGGAGTAATTCCTGAGTGCATGAGCCAGGAGTAACCCCTGAGCATCGCTGGGTGTGACCCAAAAATCAAAAAAAAAAAAACAAACAAAACCAAAGAACCAGGTGGTCATGGGGAAGGGAGATGGGGGTGGGGAGTCTGGAGGGGAGCAATGAAACTGGACTGCAGGGGGCTGACTTGGTAAGAGACCCAGGGCGGGGCGCTCCCCATCACCCCACCCCCCCACCCCACCCCAAGAACATTAGAAAGGGCCAGGAGAGAGAGTGCAGCGGGTAGGGCCTTTGTGGCCTCTCTGGGTTCAATCCCTGACATTCCCTAGGGTCCCCAGAGCCCATCAGAAATGATCCCTGAGCACAGAGCCAGGAGTAAGTGCTGAGCACCGCCAGGTGTGGCCCCAAAATTAAAAAAATTAAGAACTTTATTTTTTTTAACTTTAATTTTATTTTTTTTTTTTTGCTTTCTGGGTCTCACCCGACAATGCACAGGGGTTACTCCTGGCTCTGCACTCAGGAATCACTCCTGGCGGTGCTCAGAGCTGGGATGCTAGGAATCAAACCCGGGTTGGCCGCGTGCAAGGCGAATACCCTACCTGCTGTGCTGTTGCTCCAGCCCCTCCCCCCCACAATTAAGAACTTTAATCTGCAGGCAACCTCAGGAGATGCCAAGCCCCCTATGGCGGACGCAAGCCCAAAGAGAGATTCTAGCCCTGGACAGCGAGGCCCTCCCTGTCCATGGCCAGGCCACGGGGCCCAGAGGGAGTGGCATGGAAGGGGACTGACCCGTCCCTAGGCTCGCTGAGGTCAGCATGACAGGCACGTGCCAAACCCCCTCCCACTGGCACCTGACAGCAGGGCACTGCCCTGCCCTCTCCTGTCCCTCTTCGCGTGTTATCTGCCCACTGGCCAGGCCAGGCTATTTCTGACTCACTCCCAGGGACAGGCTGGCTCTGTCCCCCAGCAAGGCTGATCGTGGACAGACAAGGCTCTGGGGCCTGAGCCTCCAGGCTGTGGTTGGGTGCAGCTGGGGTCTGGCTCCAGAGAACAGCCACCGTCCCTGCCCCGAGGGGGACAGACACATCCAGACTCAGCCTTTCCCAGACACTACCTGGCTGGGACATCACCACTCAGCATGGGCGTCTGTCTTAGATTTGTCAAGTCTCTTGAAAGCTGAAACCAAAGGCGATTGTGTGGTTCCCTGAGCCTGAGAGCCTGAGAGCCCGATGCCAGGATCTGGCGCCCTTCCTTCCCACCTCAGTCTTCCCATCTGTGGAATGGGCCTGCTTGTATCAGGTAGAGCCTCCCCCCACCCCCGGGGTCTATGCCATGAGAGCCACCACAAACACTGGCCAGGTGGGAATTGCAGCTGAGGAGCGGGCGAGACGCTGACGGACGGGCCAGGTGCCGCCCCAGCCCCTGCTCCAGCTGCTCCTCATTGCCAAGGCCGGCCGCTCGGAAGTCAGAGGCCCGGGGCATGAGTCATGGAAAGCAGACGGAGCGGGAATGGGGATTCCAGCTGCCTGACTGGATGCTTCTGGAGTTTGGTTTCCATGGCAACTTAGGAGCGGGCCGGTGCCTCGCCCAAGGGAAGCTGAATCCCAAAACCTCAAGGAGAGGGGAGGGCATGGCCGTGAACCACGGCCCTGGGGAAGCCAGGGTAGCTGCTACTCGGAAGCCCACTCGGGCAGAGCCCCATGCGTGATGTCCTCAGGTGCCCCAGCGGTCAGGCCCCCAACTTCCCAGGCCTGGCTGGTATCTGAAGGCCCCAAATTGGGGGCACCATCCTAGTCCCCCTGCTTTGCAGTGTCCCGAGAGTGGGAAGGACGATCCAATGGAAAGCCACCCAGGCCCACGGGCAGTGCCAAGGTCCTGGGGCTCGGCGGGAGAGCCAGGCCCAGAAGGGGTAAGGGACTGGCTGCCAGATCTGGTCCTAGGCATTGTAGGTGATGGGGAGAAGAGCGGAGACAGGCCACTGTCCTTGAGGATCACCTCTCAGGTACATGGACCTGGAGCTCCGCACGTATCCCTCCCACCCTCCACAGCCCAGAGCAGCCGGCACCCGTGTGCGTGCGGGTGGGAGGGTCAGCCATGGCCCTGGCTTGGCCAGGGTCCACTCCCTGGGAAGTACGGCTCAGACCAGGATTCCTCTAAACCACAGATCTCACCCCGTCCTGCCCCTTCCTTCTCTCCTGAGCCCCCTGGCTCCCCCGAACCAACCATCGCTGTGGCATCTGATAGGAACCTGGGCGGGTCAGGAAGCAGACTCAGAGGGCGGGAGTGCACTCTCCAACTCTGCACGGCCCCCCGAGCACCCCCAGGAGTGGCCACCCCAAATCCAACAACCAGAAAGGAGTCACCTAGAAATCTCGGGATGAGGTGGGACAGAGAAATGGGGGGAACTGGCTGAAGGTGACGCGGCTAGTCCAGCCGGAGTCAGTGACCCCTGGCCCCAGCTGCCCTGCCTCGCAGTTTAGTTTCTCCCTGACCTCCCACTGCTCAGGAGGCTGGGGGCAGGTGATGGAGAGAAGAGGACCCGCTGACCCACGTCTGGCCACGCCAACCACCCACACCACCCCCAGGCCTGAGTCAGGGCGCACACACTGGATCGAGAACAAGTAACACAGGACTTTTATTTGCCCCAGAACTGGGCTTCTGTGTGGTCAGAGAGGGGGGTCACGCTTTCCCAGAGCGACTCCCCCCTGGAGGGACCCCCTCCCCCAGGGAGGCTGGATTTCTGGGTGAGGTCAGTCCCGAAGGCCCCGCACCCGCAGCGCCGAAACCCACCGGTGAGGCACCCCCGTCCCTTTGGGGGGGGGGCTGCCCCGGCTGGGTCGGCTGGTGCTCACGAGGCGGCCGTTAAAATATTGCACTTGGAGATTCGGAGAGTTGATGAGGCAAAGGTTTTCCTAGGCCAGGCCGCTGTGCCAAGCATCCCACTACTATTTAAATAAATAAAAACCCGGGCGGGGGGACGGGGGAAGGGGGAAGGGGGGCCCAGGCTGTGAGCCCCCGGCAGCGAGGCAGCGACTTCCTGGGAGAACCCCCGAGTCCCGTCCCCCGGCTTGCTCCCCTGCCGCGGCTGTCTTAGTCGTCCTGGTCCTCCTGGTCGCTGTCACCAGTTCTAGAAGGAACCTGGTCAATGCAGAGTGGGTCTCGGGATCCTGCTGGGCTGGGAGCCCTGGGGTCCCCTCGTACCGGGGCAGCGGGGACCCAGCCAGCGCCCGTGCCTTGACTCCTCCAGCGGGCGGCCGCCCGAGCCTCTCTTGGGTCCAGGCCTGGAATCCAGAGATCTGTCCGTCTGTCTGTCTGCAGCCTCTGAGGAGGAAGAGGCTGGCCGGTCCCCACTCCGTCCCTCCATCCTTGGTCAGGGCAGGGGGCCCGGGTCGCCTGGTGTGCACACTGAGCTGCGCTGGGCCGGGGCGCCCCCTAAAGCGGGGGGCTCAGCTTCTTCTGGTTAATGAGGTCCAGGTAGAGGTCGGAGCGGAGGAAGCGCGGGTACGAGTCCTTCTCCATGAGCCCGAAGATGCGCTTCTGCGCCAGGTCGAAGCAGTTGCGTGTGACACACTGCAGGTTGTCCTTGGTGTGCTCCCGGGTGTACGAGTCCAGGTTTACCTGCAGAGGGTAGCAGGGGAGCACACATCAGGGCCACATGCACGTGAGGGGGGGTGCAGGGGGAGGTCCCTGGGAGGGCTGTGAAGCCGGGCACCTGTATCACACCAGGAAGTGTGCATTAAATGCAGAGATCCCCCAGGGTGAAGCCAGGTGGGAACTGGCATCCACTCATTGCGGGGGAGGGTGCGAACTTTCCAGCGTGTTCCCTGGGGGTCTCAGCCAGGGGGCCGCTACATGTGGCCCTGCCCAGGTGGTCCTGTGGCACCATGGCGGGCCACAGATAAGGGCCTTAACCCCGGCACGCTCTCTCCTGCCCCTCATTCGATGGATAAAAGCAATCCCCACACCTCGCGGGCAGCCTTCCTGACAGGCCCTTTCACACAAAAGAGCTACAAAAAAAAAAAAAAAAGAGCTACCATGTGTCTGGCATAGAGCCTACATAAAAACCAACCAACTGCCCTTCCTTCCTTCGCTTCCTTCTTTCCTTTCCTTTTCCTTCCTTCCTCCTCCCTCCCTTCCCTCCTCCCTTTCTTTTTTCCCTCCTTTCCACCCTATCCACTTCCTTCCTTCCGTCCCTCCCTCCCTCCTTCTTAATTTCTAAACAATTTTTAAATTGATTTTATTTATTATTGACTCACCGTGAGATAGTTACAACGTTTTCAAGATTGAATTTCGTCATACAATGCTCGAACGAACACCCATCCCTCCACCCGTGAGCATTTTCCACCACCAATGTGCCCAGTATCCCTCCCGCCACCCCCATCCCATCCTGCCCCCTGCCTCCATGACAGGCACCTTCCTCCTTACTCTCTACTTTTGGGCATCATGGTTCAGAACACAGATACTGAGAGGCCTTTGTGCTGGGTCCTTTATCTACTTTCAGCATCCATCTCCCATCCTGAGCGATCCCTCCAACCATCACTGACTCAGTGGCCCCTTCTCCATCCCCTTTGCCTTCTCCCCAGCATATGAAGCCGGGTTCCCTTCCGTCCTTTTTTAGGAGGAGGGTTTTGGGGTCACAATGGGCAATGCTCAGGGTTTCTCCTGGCTCTGTGCTCAGGGACCAGGGACGGAGCCAGGGACGGAACCTGTCCCTGCTGCCATCCAAGGCTCTCTTCCAGCCCGTCAGACCTCTGGTTGTTTCCTCTCCACCCTGGGTGGCAGTTCAGGCTTCTGCCCTCCCCGAGCTCCTCTCAGAAGCACGAAGCATCTTGCATGGCCGCCTGGGGGTGGGGGTGGGTGGGGTGAGGGGACCCCCTACCTCCTTGCAGGCCTGGATGGCTATGTACTCCGCGAAGATCTTCTTGGCCTTGGCTGCCATCTTGGACTGCGACTTGACCTTCTTGAAGTCCTCGCAGGCCAGCCAGAACTCCAGGTTCTCCTCGCTAAACTCGGTGCGTAGGAAGGTCTGGAACACGGCTAAGCCGTCTGCAGGGAGAAGCCCCCACTGGGTGAGCAGCCGCTCCTCCTGCTGGTGGGGGACCCTCCCACCCCAAGCCTTGGACTTTTCCCACCAGCAGAGGCGGGGAGCTTCCTAGTTCCCTGAAACAGGGAACACAGGGACAGAATGCCAACCCTGCCCCAACGGCCTGTGTTTGTGTTTTTTGGGGGGGAGGGGGTGCGCCTGACCACATCTCCCTGCAGGAACCTCAGTTTTGTCCACCGGGAGCCCTTTGGGTACAGAGGGGCAGGTTTGAGGCCTGGGTACGTGGAAATGTTTGCTGTTATTCTGGGACTATGGGTCTGGGCAGGTCCCAGCGGCCTGCGCGGGCAGTGCCAGTTCCCGCGGGCAGGGAGGGGTTGGCAGCTCTCGGGCCCAGGAGAGCCGGGAGAGGCGGGCAGGCCAGAGCAGGAGCGGAGAGGGCAGGGCGGTCGGCAGACAGCGCGGTCCCGGGGCCCCACTTACACTTGTGAAGCAGGAGCTTCTCCAAGGACTCGCCCCACTTGAGGGCCTCCTCCGAGGTGGGCCTGGGGGATGGAGAAAGGGGCTCAGTGAGGACTCGCCAGGTTGCTGGGGGAGGGACGGCGGGGGGGGGGGGGTGTGGGGGGAGCGGGAAACGGACACAGGAGGTGGGCTGTTAGCTGGCCCAGGCAGCAGAGTCACCCTTTTCTCAGAACCCCAGTCCCCACCCTCTGTCCCGGCCCTGCAGCTGTGCCCAAGTCTCCCGACCCGATGAAACCCGCCCAACTCTGAGCGCTCCCCGGGGCGGGAGGGCCCGCGCTGTGAGTTTGGGGCGCGCGCCCCGGGCACTCAGCACCTACTTGAGCGACTTCATCACTTTGTCCGCCTTGGCGGCGGGCTGCGCCCCGGGAGACTCGTTGCGCCGCCGGAAGATGCCCAGTTTGTTCTTCATGTCCTTGGCCCTGCAGGGGCAGAAGCAGAGAAAGGGTCGGCGTGGGGGGGTGCCGGACCGGGCGCTCGCAGGCACGCGCGCGCGCGCTCCGGGCGCGGGCACCTACTCCTTCATCGTGTGCCGCCGCTGCAGGCTGCCGTGGCGGGGCAGGTACATGCCGCGGAGCATCTCCGGAGGGCCGGGGTGGGGGATGCAGGCGCGCCCGTGCCCGGCTCCGGCCCGAGCGCACGCACGCACGACTGCTCACTCGCGCGCTCGCAGGGCTCCCGGGGCTGCCGACCGACTGCGCTCGCCGCCCGGCTCGGACGGGAGGAGCCAGGAAGTGGGCGGGCCCGCGGGGCTGGGGCGAGAGGCGGGGGGCTCGGTCCCCGCCCACCCCGAGCGGCAGCCCGTGAAAGGGGCAAGTGTCTGCGGGCCGGCCCCGCGCCAGCGCCCGCGAGCCCCGCCCGGCCTCCCGGTTCCCATGGCAGCGCCCGGGAGGAGGAGAAACAAGGCAGCAAAACTGCCCGGCTCGGCCCGCCCGCCCGCCCTGAGGGCCGGCGGGACCCGCTATTTTTAGCCCAGAAACCCATTTTTAGCCCGGCCGCTCGGCCCGCCCCGCCGCGCACGGAGCTGCAGCGCCCAAGGGGTTAAACGCCCGCCCCTCTCTCCGGGCGACTCCCCCCAGCTTCCCGCGCCGGCTCCGGACGCACCCCCTGTGCCTTTGGCTGGGTGACCCTAAGCTTGAGTGCAGTTTCACCAACTGCCAAGCATCTCACTGGGGCGTCCCAAGGCCCTGAAATCATTGTTGCCTTGTTTAAAAAAGACATTATTATCACCATCACTTTATGGCTGGTGGGGCCATACCTAGGGGCGCGCAGGGGCTACATTCTTATTCCTAGTTGGGGGTGGGGGGTGGCCCTCTAGAATGCAAAATATGCACCCGTCCTTTGGAGCAATTTCCCCGCCTCAGCAGCACGGGATTTGTAAAGAAATCTTTTTTTTTTTTGTTCTTGTTTGGTTTTGTATTTAAAAGCTTTGGTTACCGGTGGCTGGAACGAAGCTGAAATTTTTTAACGTATCCATCGCCCCCCATCACAAACCAAAACAAACACCGCACTGAGAAATATGCGTGGCTCAACCTTCCCTTGTGTTTTTTTGAAGTCTGTACTTCCGGACTGATTTTTGAGTTTCCAGCTGTGCAGCGCTCTGAACTCCCTGCGGCCCCCCTCCCCCCCTCCATTCCCCACCTCCTGTAATTAAGGGCAGGGGAAGGCTGCAAATGAGGTTCTGGATTGGACCTCCTGGAGTTCGAATCCCACCTCCGGCACTAAGCAGCTCTGTGTTCTAGGCTGTCCCTGAGCCTCCCTAAAGCCAAACTTTCTCTCACCAACAGGGATAATCCAGTGTGCAGGGGGAGCTTCTGGGAAGCGTAGACAAAGGTGGGAAGGGAAACAAGTAGGGTGGGATTAGAAAGAGAATGCTCCCCCTGCCTCCTGCCCCACCCCACCCCCTGGAAAAATCCAGGTGTGTGGAGTATCGGGAGAACTCGCCAGGGACCCGCGCCCAGGATGTGTGGAAGATAATCCTTGCCCACACCCTGCTCTTCCCTGGCCCCGCGGGCTGTCTCACCCCCTGGCAGGCCTTCCATTCAGTGCAAAGTGCTCACTAGCCCCTACTGAAGAGGAAGCAGACTTTTCACCTTTCCGGATAGGCAGCATCCTTCTGAAGGAGACCCCAGCCCCCAGCCTCCCTGCCCTGCACTCCCTTTCCTTAGATCAAGTTGCCCCTGAGTCTGGTCTTTGCTTCTGAGTGTCCAAACAGAGCTGGGAGCCTGGGCTTCAAACACGGCTTTCTTTCTGGGGCACCTGCCATGCGGTGCCCCAGCTCTAGGGCCACTGTGCAGGGGATACTGAGGGACAGAGCAGGGTGGGCAGGGTGGGGGGTATTGGTGCAGGATTGAGGTCCAGCCTGTGCACGGCCTCTCTCCGCTAGGGCTCTGGGTGGACGCTGAGTCCAACCGTTCTCTACTGCCCACCTAGGCTCAAAGTGTGTGTGTGTGTGTGTGTGTGTGTGTTGTGTGTGTGTGTGTGTGTTAAAGAGAGCTCCTTCAGAAGACTTCATGCAAGCTTGAAAATGACAAGCTCTGGAGAGCAGAGAGATGGCTCAGAGCACATGTTTGTACACGGGATGCCTGAGTTCAATCCCCAGCACCACATCACATGGTCTCCTGACACCTGTGGGAGCAGCCCCCAGTCACTGCCAGGTGACCTCCCACCCCCGAAAAGATGGCAGCAGTCTCTGAAGAAAAAAGAGGGGAGAGAGACAGAGATAGACAGACTAGATACAGACAGCCTAGATATTAGAGAAACAAATGATGGATCTCTAGAGAGTCACATAGGAAACCACACGGAGGCAGACGATAAATACAGAGATGCAGACACAGAGAAACAGGCAGAAGGAGATGCAACACACAAATAACAGAAATCGGCAATCAGCCTGCCAGGTTTCAGATCCCAGCTCAACCATTTACTTGCTAGGTGATCTTCAATGAGTAAACTTTTTCTGCCTCAGCTTAATTCATTGTTGGGGGGGGAGAGAGGGTGTACAGATTTAAAAAGTAGAGGGTCTGGGTCTGGAGGAGATAGTGCAGTGGGTAGGGTGCTATCCTTGCATGTGGCTGACCCAGGTCTGATCCCCTTACCCCCATATGGTCCTCTGAGTACCACCAGGAGTGGTCCCCAAGTGCAGAGAAAGGAGTAAGCCCTGAGCACTGTCGGGTGTGGACCAGAAAAAAAAAAGAAAACAGAAAGAAAGAAAGAAAGAAAGAAAGAAAGAAAGAAAGAAAGGGACATATATGTATATATATGTGTGTGCACACATACACATAAAATGAACCTAGGACAGTGCCTACACAAGTATGAGTTGTATGTGTGGTGTGTGTGTGTGTGTGTGTGTGTGTGTGTGAGACTATCCAGGCGTGAAGGACCCTCAATAAAACTCGTAAGTCTGAACCTCAGGTGTTCAAAGGGCAGCACCTGCTTGGACAGGAGGCCAAGTTGGTGGGCCGGCTGCTCCAGCATGCCTTTCCCCACCCTGCCCCATCCCTGGGAGCTCCAAGGACTTCAGTCTAGACCCGGGGTCTGTGCAAAGGACTATTTCTGTCTGTTTCACCTTCCCTAGAAAGTGTGATTGCTCCTGGCCACAGAGTGAGAGAAACCAACCCGAGCTGCAAGAAACTGGAGAGAGCAGAGGAACTGGGACAAGAAAGAGTTTCTAGGATGGTGGAGCCCAGCCAAGGTCAGGGCCAACTAGTCTGCTAAGGCATCTGGAAGGACTTCCCCCCAGGAACTGGGCCAGGAAAAAACTGGACGTGTCAAGCGGACTCGCCGTGGGCCAGCAGCGCCCTCTCCTGGCAATGCCGGAGACGACAGGCGTTGCAAAGCTCACCTAGTGGGAAGGGGAAGGGTTGTGCCCTGTGGCTTACAGGTACCTGCTCTGTGCGGCTGCTGCGGAGGGCAGCAGTGCTGGCTGGCCCCAGGCCCCCCACCCCAGCCTGAGTGCACGGCTGAGTCCCACCCTCCTGTTGTTCACTGGTGTCTGCAGAGGGCAGGAAGGGGGTGCCCCTTCTCTCCACCCTCCCATGGGAGGCCAGGCAAGCCCAGGAGTGGAGCGGGAGGGCGGGGAACTTTCCCAACGTACAGGTTTTTGCTCTTTCTCTTCCGCGAGACTTCATCGTCGTCCCCAACCGTGTCAGGTCCGCTCATCTGTGGAGAAAAGACAGGGGCGCTGATGGGGGAGGTGTCCGGAGATGGCTACACGTGTCTGGGATCCGGGAGCCGTCCTGCACCCCTCTGCTGGGAATGCCTGTTGTGTTTGGTGCAGCTGGCCTGGGAGCAACCTACCCTGGGGCTGTTCTCTGGCATGTGGTGAGGAGCAGGGCTCAGTGCACCAGTTACATTGTAGCACCAGACACAGCTGCCACCTCCACCTGGCTCCTCCCTGAGCCTCAGTGTCTGGGCTTCAAACTCAAGGTCAGACAGCTGAGCTGGTTCTTTCCAGATTATGGGGTTCAACGTGTACCTGGGCCGGCCTACGGTGTGTAAAGTGCCTGGGAACACCCCCCCCCCCAAGCTCCCAGGGGCTCCAGGGAACCTCTGGGCAATGGTCAAAGCCCGCCCTCCAACATCAAGACCTACAGGGGTTACTGAGGGAGAAGGGTAGGTTCCCTCCTGCATGCCATGTGGTACTCCGAGCACTGAGCTAGGAGTAGTCCCCCATGCCACTGCCTCCAGGAGACACACGGGACCCAGCAGTGCTCCCCTCACGCACCCCCCCCCCCCCCGCCCCAGCAAACCAGGGGTCAGTGAGTCAGCAGAGCAGAGCAGCTGGCCATGGACACGGCTGCCAGAGAAAGGACAGAAGCCCACCAGGCATGGCTACACTCTGACTCCTCACGAGCCCTAGTCTAGGCAGCCTCTCTTTTGTACAGCAAAGAAAATGGGCTAAGCCTCAATGCTCAGGAGCTCAAAGCTCAATGCTCGGGAAGAGAAAGGCGGCCTTATTCCAGATGCAGCCAGCAGGGGGAGCTACTAGCTTCAGTGATGTACCCACGGGTGGGTCTGCGGATGCACAGATACATGGATGGATGCATGGAAGGATGCATGGATAGATGGAAGGATGGATGCATGGATGGATGGAAGAAAGGATGAGTGGAAGGATGGATGGAAGGAAGGAAGGATGGAAGGATGGAAGAAAGGAAAGAAGGAAGGAAGGAAGGAAGGAAGGAAGGAAGGAAGGAAGGAAGGAAGGATAAATGAATCCAGTCAGGCAGGTAAGTGGCAGGCAGGTGGATAGGTGGGTGGGTTAGTGGGAAGATGGATGGGTGGACAAGTGCACAGATGAATGGGTCAGTGGGTGGCTGGACAGATGGATGGATGGATGTGGGTTATTGGGTAACCCAGATAGCTTGTGGATAGGAGAATGGATGGAGGGAGGGAGGGATGGAGGGACAGAGAAAAGGACAGGAGATAAATAATACTGTATGAAACTTAAATTGCCAGGGAGACCCAATTGTTTAACCCTAACCACAAACTCCCTCATTAGTCATGGCAGTAAGCCAGGCCATGAGGGGAGCGGACGCTCAGAGACACTTCAGTGGCAGCTGGGGTGGGCCTGTCCGGGTTCCAGGCAGGGCTTCTGCAACAGAGGCTGCAGCTCTCCCAGGTGAGGCTGTTCTGGCCATTTCCTGACTGTGCTGCCCCCTCCCTAGGGCTTTGCAAACGTGACATACCACCAGGATGGGGGGGGGGGGGAGGGAGGGAGACCATCTAGTCCCTCAGCCTCTTTAAGTTGTGCCACAAGCTTGGACGGTGGATAGGGTATTCTCCAGGGTCAAGTCCTGGGGTGCTGGGGCCCAATTCTGACCCATTCAGTTTCCGGGGGGCTTCCCAAGCTCACCACGCAGCCAGCACTATCTCCCCCCTTGCCCCCGCATCACACACAGCCTGGGGTCACGGCAGCCTGTGCCCCCACCCGTGGGAAAGGGCCGAGCACACCCGGCTTCCTCCCATTCTGACCTCAGCTTCCGCGCTTTATCGGACCCACACAATGGGCCCGGGGACCACTCCTGCACCCGCCACCCAGCTCGCCACCCCGGCCTGTGTGCTGCTGAGAAACGATTTCTTCCTTCCACCAATGGGGGGTGGAGGGGGGAGTCCTCGTCGGCCTGACGGAGGGGGCTGGCAGATGGACTTGACCCCCTGAGGCTTCTCTCTGCCTTTCCTGCTGCAAGGCCCCTCCGCCCCCCTGGGGCGCCATCTCTGTACCCCAGTGACCCTCACTGCAGAAGGCAGGGGGGAAGGAACCACCCCCTTCCCTCATGCTCTGCGGGAATCCCAGGGGCCCACCCAGCCCCCACGAAGCTTCCTCCAGGGCCCGAGAGCTCACTGCCGCTGAAGTCATAATTATCCTTCTTAGTGTAATTATAACTGTAATCACAGCCATGGCTGAGCATGGGGCTGGGGCTGCTGGGATGTAGAGCCTGGCCGGGCCCTAGTGGTAGCTCTGAAGGTCTCGGTTCCTCTGCAAAATGAAGTGGATCTGGACATGGGTCTCCCGGGGTGGTGGGGAGGGGTCATGCGGTCCAGTGAGATCGGGTGGGGCGAGGGTCCTTCCCTGTCGGCTGGGAGCTACGCTCCATGGAACTTGCTCTTCCCAACACTGTGGACGGCTGTTGACTGTGACTTCTGCCGGCTGAGGACAGAGCCCCTGAGCAGGGTCGGTGACAAGCCTGGGCTGGAAGTGGGGAATCTGAGGCCCAGGGATGGACTGGGGGACCTCTCTACCCTGCTTCTCCCAGTTGGTTCTGATCACACGGCCAGGCCCCGCTGCCCGCTGAAGGCCCCGTGGGAAAAGTGCAAACACCGTATCTGCACTCAGCACAGCTGGGTTTGAGCAAGCCGAGATCAATCCTCTTTAGGGTTTTTTTTTTAGAGTGGGGGGTGGAGGGTGGGGGTTTTTATTGGGGGCAGCAGGAGTGGTTAGGGGGGTTTGGTGCATACTCAGGGATACTGAGGGCTCTTCCTGGCTCTGTGCTCAGCAGTGACCCCTGGTGGTGTTTGGGGGACCGTATGCAGAGCCGAGGGTTTGAGTGGGCACATGCTGGAGCGATAGCACAGCGGGTAGGGCGTTTGCCTTACAAGTGGCCAACATGGCCGACCCAAGTTCGATTCCTCCGCCCCTCTCGGAGAGCCCGGCAAGCTACCGAGAGTATTCGATATGCCAGACACAGTAACAACAAAGTCTCCAATGGAGACGTTACTGGGCCCGCTCGAGCAAATCGACAATCAACGGGAGGGCCTTTACCTTTATGCAAGGCAAGGTCCTTCCTTCCTGTCTTGGTTCTCTGACCCTCATCTTCAGGGTTTTGTTTGTTTGTTTGATTTTACAATAGGGAATGGGAAGGCGATGCCGCACCCTGAACTGGAAGGCATCCGGGGCACCCTCTGTCTAACCTGAGGGCCTGGGCCCACACCCTGCCAGAGGAGGGGGCCGGAAGTGTGGCCAGGAGCTCTAAGCAGGTGAGGAGGGAGTGCAGTCCCGGAGCATGTCCCATGTCCTGCATCATGTTCACTGACTTGCAGGGCAGGACAGACGTGGCCTGCCCTCCCCCTGTCCTGCCATGGTACCCAGGGACTGGCGCAGCAGAGGGCACTGAGGCAGCTCAGCTCTGGGGGGGGGAGGGAGCACGCAGGAACCCTGAGCGTCCTCTCTGGCCTGTGGAAGGGGACGTGGCCGGCAGTCGGCATCTCGGGGCGTGAGGCATGCCTGCTCTGTGTGGACCCGTATAGGGAGCGTCACCCCCTTGGCAGCCCTGGGTCTCCTTTGCCCGGCCCGAGACTCATATTCAGAGGCACAGGGGTTCTGGCTGCTGTCAGGTCTGGCCTCTGCACCACCCATGGAGACATGGCATTGTCTGGTCTACTCACACGGGCTCGACCCAGGCTGTGGGCGCAGCGGGCAGCAGATGCAAGACCTGAACCTGGTTCCACCCCCAGCACCACCCCTATGGCTGAGCACATGGGAGCCTGGCTGCCCTGAAACTACCAGGGGGCACCATGTGTGCATGTGTATGTTGTGCATGTGTGTGCGTGTGTGTGCATGTGTGTGCATGTGTATGTGTGCATGCATGCACGTGTACACATGTGCGCGCATGTGTATATGCATGTGTATGCGTACTTGTGTATGTGTGCATGTGCGTACATATATGCGTGCATGTATATATACATGTGTGTGCGCGCGCATGTGTGCGTGTGTACATATGTGCGTGCATGTGTGCGTGTGTATGTGGGCATGTGTGCGTGTGTGTACATATGTGCGTGCGTGTGTATATGCATGTGTGTGTGTGCGCGCGTGTGCGTGTATGTGCGTCAGAACACCCAGTCAAGGGTGCAAGTCCCGGGACACTGCAACCACAGCCACAAAAGGCGGGGAAGGTGCTGAGGGCACCTGTGAATGTTGGGGTGCCATTTTCTGCTCACGCTATTCTCTTCTCCCCTCCTCCCCCCACTTTCACTCCACAACACTTCCTCCACCTCCCTCTCCTCCTCCTCTACCTCTCTTCCTTCCCCATCTCCTCCCCCACTTCCTCCTTTTCCTGCCCCTCCCCCATCCCCTCCTTCCCCATCTATTTATACCTCCCCCTCCTCCAGTCCCCTCCCTCTTCTCCCCACCCCCCACCCTCCCCCAGCCCTGGGTCCCTGGTCTGGAGTCACCACCCATGGGGGCAGATGTGCCAGGCACTGCCCCAACACCTTCCCCTAGGGGGCGCTCTTCCCTTTACCCATAGATCCAGAGGGGGGGTCCTGCCCACTGTGGGAGAAGCTGGAGGCCCCCCCACCCCAGGAGGCAAGAACAAGCCCCTCTGGGGGCCCCGTGACAAAGGTGGGTCTCCCTGCTGCTGGATGGTGGGTGCAGGAAATGAATGAGCAGAGGCACGAAGAGCAGAAGGTGCATGGAGGGGGCCTCCGTGAGGGGACGACACTCAGGAGCCTGGGGCTCCCGGGGTGTGCTGGTGTCTGGGAGGAGGGTCCTGCACCCCACAGGAGCAGCGAGCGGGGCTCTGGGGACTGGGCTGGCAGCTGAGGGTCTCTGGGTACATACCATGGGGGTCAGAGAGGGGGCTCAGGGACAGGATGGAGCAGGGGGATCCCTGCTGAGGAACCGGGGTCAGAAAGGGCAAGGTCACAGGGGTCAGAGCGATAGTGCAGTGGGGAGGGCACTTGCCTTACACGTGGCTGACCCGGGTTCAGTTCCCAGATCCCTATCTGGTCCCCTGAGCACTGCCAAGAGTGACTCTTGAGCTCGTAGTCAGGAGTAAGCCCTGAGCACTGCTGAGTGTGCCCCCAACCCCTCCCCCCAAAAGAAGCCATTGGTCACGGCCCCAAAGCGTTCCGTACCCTCTGCAGGGCTGGCCTGGCCTGAGGGAGCCTCTGGGCCCTGTAAAAGCTGCCCCGCTCCTGACTGTGGGCAGGGGGAGCATCGCAGCCCTAGAGGGGGTCCTTTAAACAGAAGATCTGACGGTTCAGCTCACTCTGGGCCTTGAAATCTCTACAGCCATCACATGTTCCCAGGGGGCTCAGAACCAAGTGTGAACCAGACACTCACAGATGGAGTGGGGGGAGTGGGATGGCGGGGGTGGTGGGGTGGGGGCGGGGAAGGTCCGTTCCAATTCCTCTGAGGCTCTAGTCCTGCTTCCAGGGACTCCACTTACAGCCCTCTCTGGGGGCTTCTCAGCTTGCACTCTGCCGGGGGTCAGGTCTGCTTGATTGCCAATGGCTGAGAAGTTACAGAGGGGCCTGGGGTCCCCACCCTCGCCGGTTAAACATGCTGGGGCCCTGCTAGAGAGCCCTGCTGGGGGGAGGGGGTGCACAGAGGCAGGCAGTTCCTCTCTGCTCTGCAGACAGCTGGGTCCAGGCTCAGAGGAGCGGGACTCACCCAAGGCCATGAAACCAACAAGGAGCCCAGAGCCCCAGCCGGAGCCACTGATGGACTTCAAGCCCATTAAAGTCCAACCATGGTCCCCCCTCCCCCAATAATTAATCCCCTCCTCTGGCTCAAGCCAGCCTCCCTCATTGCTGGAGCTTTGGGGGGGGGGATTGCGGGGGACGAACACAGCACAGGTCTGGCATACGGCAGGGGCGCCATAAACTCGTCTTCGTCTATTTATAAACATCTGCGAGAGGCTAGTGGCCTGGTGGTTAAGCGCTCCAGGCCCCGGGCCAGGTTCTGGTTCAGATGTTTATAAACGACGCGGCCGGGTGCAAGTGACCTGACCTCTCGGGGCCTGGGCTGAAGGGCACCAGAGCCGCCTTCGCCTCCTGGGGCTGTTCTGGGAGCCGCCACTCGCGCCCACTGGTCAGAGTGGGGCGGGAAGATGCTTCGAGGGGCTGATGCAGGCTGAATCGGGGGAGGCCTGGACCCAGCTTTCACTGCAACTCGCTTTGGGGCTGTAATCTCAGATCTTTTCGGGGGGGCGGGGGGGAGGGTACAGAGTGTGTGTGTGGGGGAGCTCCCAATCAGTCCCTGGGAAGGGCGGGGGGGGGGGGGGGGTGAGGCAAAGGCCTCTCCCCCTGATGCTCAGCCAACCAGGTTAGATGGTTCAATGGTCAGTGGCGGTGCTGGGGGTCTCCAGAGCAACTCTGCATGGGGGGGGGAGGGGAAGGGGAATGCCAGGGAGAACAACTGGTACCCGGATATAATGTAGGTTCTGGCATGTGCCCCAATTCTCGAACTATCTCTGCCGCCCCGGAGCTGGCATCTGTATGTTGCAAGCACAAAGCCACACCCGCTCTACATTGCAGGTGTGACAGTCCCCGGGGCGCAGGAAGAGCACAAAGTCCAGGGCCTGTCACGGGCGGGTGTGAGTTGCGCGGTGGCCTTCCTGGTGTTTCCTGGCCTCGGTGTCAGCCTCTGGGCAGGGGCAGGAGGTGGCCTGGAAGCCTCGGAGAAGTGCGGGGGGTGGGGGGGGGCGGGACCGGGTACCCCTCCTTCCTCCTCCCGCCCCCCAGGCAGCCCCCTCCCTTACCTTCCGGTGCCCCGTGAAGAAGAGCGAGAGGTGGTGCATGGAGCCGCCGTTGCGGCCCAGCTCCTTCTTGAGCGTGCCGGGCGAGGGCATGGTCCAGGCGGGCGCGGCGCCCTCGCCGTCCGAGCAGTGCAGCGTGGTGTCCGAGGAGAAGCAGGGCCCGCGCGCGTCCTGCAGCAGGCTGCCCTCGCTGTGCGTGCGGCGCCGCAGCGAGCTCTGCACGCGCAGGCACAGGCCGTCCGCGGCGCCCGCGCCCGTCTCGATCATGCTGCTGCGCTTGGCCTCGGCGCGCTCCCCGTAGTTGTCGTCGCTCGTGTCCTCCTCGTCCTCCTCCTCCTCGTCGTCCTCCTGGCCCTCCTCGTCCCCTTCCTCCTCCTCCTCCTCCTCGGCGCCCGAGCTGCCGCCGCCCTCCGCCCCCGCCTGGCTGTAGGCGCAATCCAGCCGGACCTCCGGGATCACGAACTTGTGCTTGCAGACCCCGGGAGGGTCCCCCGACGACGACGACGACGGAGCGGCTGCTGCGGGGTCCCCGGGACTCGGGGGCTCCTTGGCCTGGCTGGGTGGGGACAGGTCCGGAGCGGGGGCATCCGCGGGAGCAGGGAGGGCTTGGCTGGGAGGAGGGGGCTCGGGACCCGTGGCAAGGTCCCGGGAGGAAGGGGTGTCGTCTGGGGCGGAAGGGGCCTCCTGGAGGCTGGGTGCGGGGTCAGGGGCCCCGGCGCCCTCCTCGGGGGCAGGCAGGTCTGTGCCAGCAGCCGGTGCATCTGGGCCTGGACGTTCCTGGCCTGAGGACTCCTTGTCAGGTGCGGGGGCTGGTTCTGGAGGAGGCACCGGAGCCGGTTCCTTGCTGGGTGGGGGCTCCTCGGCCACCTTCCCTTCTGCCAACGACATCTCCCTCTTCTCATTCGCCTCTGACTCAAACATCTGCGGAGCGAGAGAGAAAACGATCAATGTTCCAAAGAGCATGGAGTGAGAGGCCAGGCCCCCTGTATATGGGGGGGCACAAGACAGGGGGGCTGAACCCCCAGCTCCATCCCTGGCACCCAGGTGCCAGACGGAAGCAGGGGACCCCCTTGGGCTTCACTCTAGACCCATCCCCCCTTTTCCCCTCACACTTGAACCTTCTGTGGGTCCTTCGGGGAGGAGGGTAAGTGGGTCACTGCTGTGTGCTGGCTCTTAGGGTGCAGTGAGGCTGCATGGGGTGGGGTGGGGGGCGGGGAACACTGGCACTTCCCACCAGTTCTCCCGAATGGAAGGGTCTGGTCTCTGCAGTGCAGAGGGAAACCAGGAGGAAAGAGCGAGAAGCAGCTGCGCCCTTTTGCAAGCCCACACCAAACCCGATCCCTAGGGACAGCAGGGATCTGGTCCCGAGCAGAGACTTGACTGAAGGGTCTTCAACCAAAGTTCTCTCGAGTTCCTTCAAGTGCTTCCCACAAGAGCCCACTCCAGAGAGCGATAGCACAGCGGGGAGGGCGCTTGCCTTGCACGCAGCCAAGCCAGGTTGGATATCCAGCATCCCATATGGCCTCCCGAGCCTGCCAGGAGCCATTCCTGAGTGCAGAGCCAGGAGTAAGCCCAGAGCACAGCCAGGGTGTGGCCAGAACAGAGGATAAGAACCCGCTCCGAATGGTGTGGCATCTTTTTTGGAAATGGATGAACCAGAATGGAATGAGAACTTCAGCCTATAGACCCGCATCCGACTGACGGGGCTGCAGTCACAGATGCACGGGCTTCCCGGGGCTTGCTCCAGGCCCTGGGCTGGACCTACACCTCCCGACTCTGGCCAGCCATGAGCACCCAACGGCCAGCGCCTTCCCCAGATGTGAGCCCCGTGTGAACAAAAAACAAGTGAACCCTGTGGGTGGAGGAACCTCAGGAGTTCCACACAAAAGGAAAGAAATCCTGACATTTGCTGGCTGACACAACAGCACCCAGAGCCCCCTGGCTTCCTGCTGGGCAACCACTACAGGAGAAGCACCCCGGAGGATGTCAGTCATGCTTCGATCCCCTGGGACCCCCTCCAGGGCTGGAGAGACCATATACGGGTAGGCTGTTTGCCGTGCATGTGGCCAACCCAGGTTCAATCCCCAACACAACCAGGAGTGAGCCCTGAGCACTGAGCCAGGAGTGAGCCCTGAGCACAGAGCCAGGAGTGAGCCCTGAGCACCACAGGGAGTGACCCCAAATTACTCCCATCCTACACACACACACACACACACACACACACACACACACACACACTCAAAAGATTAGGAGCTGCCACTATGTGGAAAACAGGTCTAATGGCTAGGCTGGGCTGAGCCCATCTGACCGTCCAGGCCTTGAAACGCTGCCACTGAAACTATTCTGAGCCCAGCTTTCCTGCACGAAGGGCTGGAACCAGGACTCAGAATTAATGACAGAGACACCAAATGTGCCCAGGAACTTAGCCCTTGAAGAAGGAATCACACCTGGGCTGACACTTGCTCTCTCTGAGTTTTGGGGTCACTCACACTCGCAGAGCAGAGGTTAAGAGCTCCTGTTATCAGGGCTGGGGAGATGGCTCAGTGGGCTGAGACACGTGGTGGCTGCAAGCTCAAGGACTGGGATTTGAACTCTGCCATTGCAAGCCCCTTGGCCCCAATACTGTCAACCCCCAGTGGTGCCACGTCACTGGACCCTGAGCATTGGACCTCCCAGCCTGGCTGAATACTACCCGGGTAGTATTCCCTAAAGATCCCCATCCCAAATAATATAACATATTTCCCCAAATCACTTTTTCAAAGGGTTCCTGCTATAAGGCCCGTGGCAGTCTCTTGGAGGCAGAGTGCAGCCTCTGGGCGGGCGATGGAAGGACGTGTGCCCGGAGCCGGCATGACTGCTCAGTGTTGCATGTGGCCGACCCGGGTTCGATTCCTCCATCACTGTTGGAAAGCCTGGAAAGCTACTGAGAGTATCTCGCCCACACGGCAGAGCCTGGCAAGCTCCCCATGGCATATTCGATATGCCAAAAACAGTAACAACAAGTCTCACAATGGAGACGTTACTGGTGCCCACTCAAACAAATCGATGAACAATGGGAGGATAGTGCTACAGTGCTACAGTCTTGCACACACACACACACACATTTACGAACACAAATACACTGCCACACACATACACACATACTCTTGAATACACACACTCCTTTACAAACACACATACCCTCTCTTACACATATATATTCTTGCACACACACACACATACACTCATTCACACACCAGCCCTCTGGGCTCCTGGGGCCCACCTTCAAGTCCTCCCGCCCCACTAGGCCAGACTTCCACCTTCCTGAGTCCAGGAAAGACAGTGGGAGGCAGTGGCCCTGGTGCCCAGCAAACAGTGGCTCTGAGAGTAGGGGCCAGGCCTGGGTTCTCCTTTCCTGGGGGTGGAGGTAGGGGTGGGCTGGCCCCACCCACAGGAGTGGGGGCAGCTGCCTGAGCCCAGAACCCCCAGGAAAAGAGCCGCCATGGACCCAGAACCAGAAATGCAAGTCAGGCTGTCCAGATCTGTGCGGTTCCAAAGTAAACAGAGGTGGGGACAGAGTCGTCCAGAGAGTGCCCAGCTCACAAGGCCTCCAGGGCCCTGCGCCCACACTCCCCGTGGGCACTTTGGTGGCCATGCCACCATCCCTGTCACTTTCAGCTGGACACTCTGGGTGGCCTGCCAAGTCCTCCCCACCCAGAAGGGAGCCATAACCCCACCTCACTTTCCCAGGGCACGAGGACCACCCTTAGGGTCCCCCCATAGGCCAGGAGGAGCACTAGGGAAAATGGGACTATTACTGTCTAGTCTTGGGCAGGGCATCAGGTGTGGTGCTTCAGCAGGGCTTGGAGGGCTCCGGGGGTTACTCCTGGCAACGCTCACGGGGCTATTCAATGCTCAGGCCCGACCATGTGCTGCTGCCCAGTCCAGAGACCAGCAGGGCCTCTCCTGGCGGTGCTGGGGGCCCAGACGGGTTGGTACTCACGACTGCAGGGTGCCTACACCAGCCTGTGGAGCTCTCTCCTACCCACTAAGTCTAATTTTCTGTTGTTTTTGGTCTACTCTGTCCAGAGCTTACTCCCAATTCTGTGCTCAGGCATCACCCCTGGTGGTGATGGGGAACCTGATGGGAACCAGGATGGGAGAAAGAAGCAGCTGCCACAAGGCAAGTGCTTCTTGACCCTCCAGCCCCTCTGGTCTAAGATGAGTCCAGGGCAGCTTCCAGGACTGGCCACTGGCTCTGTCGGAACTCAATTTCTCTGGGCACAGGATCTCTCCCTGGGCAGGACGGGGGTGCTGACAGGGACCCTCTCCTGGGCCAGCACACGTAGCACACACATTTGCCAACAAGAGTAGAGGCTCGTGAGTTCACACTGGGCTCTTCCACGGATCCAGCCAGTGTCCTAAGAAAACTGGGTGTGGGGGCACCTTGGGGTGCTCAGGCCCTCCAGCAAATGCCGGGAACCAGGGCCAGTGAGAGGAAGGCAGCGAGGGAGAGGGTCCCGGTGCCGGGGAGGTCAAGGAGCACGCATGTCACGGAATAGAAGCCGGATTGGGGTGGCCCCATGAGCACGGCCAGGGTCTATGCCGAGAGCCGCCTGAGTGAAAACTTTCTGGAGTCGGGGGTGGGAAGGGGGTGGGGAGACAGTACAGAAGGCGAGGTTTTCACCTGGGCTGCGGCTGCTTCGGCCACATCCCTGGCTCGAAGGCCCAGTAGACGGTCCCCTGAGCAGCGCCAGGGGTCATTCCTGAGCAGAGTCAGGAGCAGCACCCTGAGCTCTGCCGGGTGTGGCCACAAACAGAAACAAACAAATAAAATAAAAATAATGCTCTGGGGAGGCTGGAGCCATAGCACAGCAGGGAGGGCGTTTGCCTTGCACGCGGCCGACCTGGGTTCGATTCCCAGCATCCCATATGGACACCCGAGCACCGCCAGGAGAAATTCCTGAGTATAGAGCCAGGAGTAACCCCTGTGCATTGCTGGGTGTGACCCAAAAAGAAAAAAAAAGGTTCTGGGTCATACAAGCAGGATGTGGGGGTATGCGCACATGTGGAGCTCCGGCCAGGCCCCTACAAGACAGCAGAGAATAAGGCAGATACAACTCCTGGCCCCCCACCCTCACCCCCACCCTGACATCCTCCTTGCCTGCTGCTGAGCAGAAACCAGAGTTTGGACTCGCTGTCCCGACTGAGTGCATCAGCGCAGGAAGAGCCGGAACCCTTGGCCACAGGCCTTTGCGATAGGCTGGGGCACCCCCATCCAGCCAGGGACACCCGTCCGCTCACCCGGGGCCCTTGCGGTGAGAGGCTGGCAGTTGCCACCCTGCTGCCCGCACCGCGCTGGCAAGACCCTTCCCATCCATCACTTCTCGGGCCCGGCTGAAGCAGGGTTAATTCTGCCTATGCCTGGCCTGCTGGAAACAGACAGGAAATGAACCAGGCCCTCTAAATGGAACCGCTGATCAGGAGCTAATCAAATCCTCTCCCTACTCCAATCCTTGGAGCTCGGAACAGGGCTGGGAGGTGGGGGGGGGGGGGGCAGCGGCAGGGAAGGGCCCTCCCTCTGGAGCAGACTTCTCCTCACGCTGCCTGTGTCTCCTGAGCCCCGGCTGGCCGCCCCCCTGCTGGGGAAACTGCGATGCCCGCGGGTGGTTTGGTGGCACGCAGCAGCGGGTGCAGGTCTATGATCCCACAGGCAACCTGCAGGCATTCCTCTCTGGGATGACTCATCACGTCCCCCCCCCCCCCCCGCACCCAAAAAAAACGCCAGTCTCCACATCTGCCCCTGAAAACCACTTCCTGCCCTGATGATGGGGGGGGCATTGGGGGGAGGTGGTCAGAGCTCATGTGAGCTGGGGGTTGGCCCCAGCCAGCAAGAGCCCGCCCCCTCCCCCAAGTCTAGCATCCAGCTACTGACCTGGGCT